ATCCGTAGACCTTTCGAGGTCACAATTTATATCGTTGAATAGATTTCGAGATCACGAACATATAGGCGAAAGCCGCTTGCGAGTCCGAGTTTGAACGGTATAATTACGGATATTTGAAGTTGTGTTACTAAACTATATATTTTAATTTATTTTAAAACTCCCACATAGTGGGAGAGGGACCAGGGAGAAATGGAAAATAAAAGGGAACGGACAGAAAAGAAAAGGGAAGGAAGGAGGGTCTGGTTTTGACCCGTTTTTGGGCATTTTCAACCCTTTTGACCCACAAACTTGACCCGCTTGTATCTCCTTCATCCGAGCTCCGTTTTGGGTGATCTTGGTGTCCATGGAAAGCTCTTGGCGAGCCCTACAACTCTGTAGTGTTAGATTTTCCATTTTCTTATCCAATTTTCCAGTTCGAGGCAGCAAAGTTCCGTAGGTTTTCCGGCGGTTTTGTCATTTTCCGGCAATTCCGGCAACCATTTCCCTCAAGTGAGGTATGAAACTTTACCTACTCTTCATAATCTTCAAGTTGGTATGCTTGGTTTGTGTTTTTGTAGTCGTTTTAGTGTTGGGTGTTTAGAACCCTAGAAATCCGGTTTCCCCGGTGAAATTGGATGGCATACGGCTTGAATTTGTCGTTGGGTTAGTTGTGAAAAGTGTTTCCCTTGTTGAGTTCTAGCTACCACATAATTTGAACTCATTTAATTAATATTGAAAATTTGGGTTTTCTAAACCCTCCACCTTGGCTACCACCACGTGTGGCGGTGCGTGGGACAGTCCACGAGTGTTGTTTAAGTACCAAATACCTTCTAGTGACCCTGTGAACCTATGTCTAGCTTGGTTTCCCGAAATTCAATTGTTTGGTGTGGTGATCAAATTGGACCGCCACTTGTTTGTGTGATTGATGACAATCCGATCTTTGGTTCGTCGTACAATTTTGTGAACACCTTAATTATCAGTTGTTTGACCTTTGAGAGCTTACCGATCAGAAATCCGATGTGCGGATCTTCCGGATTGAATAACCTTAATTTGTTGACCTTAATGGACCTACCTTATCGACGGTTGACGCTTTAGTTAACGTGCTCTACTCTTGAGTGTTGCTTACCTCTAGTATGTCGTTGAGGCTTGATGGAAGTTAGTTGGCTCATCACGATGATGTGTCGTTCCCAGTTGACGTGTGTCTCGATATATGTATTGGTGGCACCATATTGAGTTATACTTGTTTATTAAATGTGCTTTCTATTGAATTGTTATTTTTATTTTTAGCATCGATCTATGTTTAGTAATTGTGAATCGACTATAGCTTGGAAACGTTTATGAAATGTGGTTAGATATGTATGAGGTGTATGATTATTTTCATGACAATGTGATCCTAGAATCCTATTAGAGGTATGTTGTAGCACTTATATGCTTGGGTGACATATTAGTGGTGACCTCGAGAAGTTGATGGTGTAGGTGACTACGTTGTAACTCATAGGGGTTGAGATGCGGATAAGTTGAGGTGTTGAGTTTACTACACCATGTAGTAGTTGTACATTGATGGTCCTGCTTGGTATATCCGCATTGGGGGACCATACGCATTCTAGGAGTGATCATGCTTGGTATATCCGCATTGGGTGATCACTACCTACCTGATTATTTTGACCCTGCTTGGTTAATCCGCATTGGGGGTCATTAGTGGTCCTGCTTGGTTAATCCGTATGGGGGGACCATACTATAAATGGATCGCGCTTGGTTAACCCGTGTTGGGTAATCCTTATGGCCATGTATGCTTAGTAGTGATCATGCTTGGTTAATCCGCATTGGGTGATCATGCTGGTTAATCCGCATTGGGTGATCACTTCCTAATAGTTGTAGGGGTGACTCTGCTTGGTTAATCCGCATTGGGGGGGGGGCACTGCCTACTTGGTTACTTTCTTAAGGGTGGCTCTGCTTTGGGGGGGGCACTTCCTGTTTGGTTACTTATGTGGGCTTCAGTTGAACTACGTCCCTCTGGCCCTAGTTTTAATGTACATATGAATGATGGTTTTTGAGAATCTTGATGGTTTGAATGGGATAAGTCGTTGGATGTATGGGTGACTCATTCGGAGTTGTTAGAGACTTGATTATGTTTTCATATTTACGAACTTATATTTGAGGTTATAAACTATGATCAATGGTCTTTCTTTTTATTGATTATCTCATACTTGTAATTTGGTTCCGTTGAGTGGTCCGGAACCCAGTGTTGGATTCCGTTGAGTGGTCCGGAATCCTTGCTTTTGCTCATTTCCATAAGGTTATCTTAGAATCCTAGATTCGAGTGAATGAGAATTACGCACAATAGATCTTGTGCATACAAATTAGAATTATCATGTTATTATTCATAACTCAAGCAGGGAATTATGTAGAGTTCTTTAATTAAACTCGTGAAATGATGTGCTATCTCACTGATTGATTAACATAATTAAATATTAATATTGTGCTTCGTGATTCCCTGATATGTTACAAGCTATGGATAGAGATATAATGTTGGAAGCATAGTGATTGGTATGATGTAGTGAAATGTGATTTGACTTGTGTATTGGAAATGGTTGTGTCATGTGATTGAAATGCCTATTGAATTGCTTGGGAGATGTGAGATCTAGTAATGGACCGATAACCCATTGTGATGGGGATTTGTTGCTCGATATTAGTTCGTTTTGTTGAGTCTTCGTGAATTGAGTAACTTGAATCCTATCTTGTTCCTTCGAGCCATAGTTATGCTTCTTGGACTTCCGTTCGGTTCTGTTGAATGGTTCGGAACTAAGTTCTGTTTGGATTCCGTTGAGTGATGGTCCGAAATCCCTTCTACTCTGCGATTTCGTTGAGTGATGGTCTGGAATCGTATCCTGGTTTGGATTCCGTTGAGTAAGTTCTGTTTGGATTCCGTTGAGTGATGGTCCAGAATTGTATCATTGACTTGTTAGTTCCTTGGATTGATATCAACTTCTGAGATGTAGGCTTCGGCCAAACTGTATCGCTCTAGCCCTGCGTTTTGGTATATGATGTGTTGTTGATTGATGTGATTATGGAATAATGTTGGTTGTGATTTTTGTCATTATAATTAGACTCGTTGACTATTTTGGCTAGAGAATAGCATGGTGATCCGTTGATTGTTCTTTGAGACGTTGCATATTATGAAATGGAGAATCATGTGAAATGTAGTGATTTATATGAAGGATGAAGTGGAAAATATATGTGTGGGCATAGCATACCTGCGTGCATGACAAGATGATAGTTGTGTATGGCTTATGGTTGAAGCGTAGTGTGGTACCCTATGTTTTTTTCACTATAAGTATTTTATGAAAAGATTAAAGTTTGACGAACATTGAACTACAAATGACTTGATCTCTATTGAGGGTATGTAGGCAGTCTAACGAAGAGGTTAGATGCAGCCATAAATTGTACGAAAAATGCTATGAAATTTGAATCTTGATTTATGCTTTGTACATATCCCGAAGGCGGGGTATGTTAGATGTACGGGTATTGGTGAAGTCACGTGTAGATTCTGGACGTATGTTGGGATCGGGGCGTGACAGAACCTCCATCAACTTGATGTAAACAATGCATTTTTGAATGGGGACCTTGATGAAGATGTGTATATGACTCTCCCACCTGGGTTTGGACGAAAGGGGGAGACACGTGTTTGCAAGTTGCAAAAATCCCTATATGGCCTTAAGCAATCGTCCCAACAGTGGTTCATAAAACTTTCGACATCCTTCAAACGTGCAAATTTTTGATAGTCCAAGGCCGACTACTCACTCTTCTTCCGCACCCAAGGTAAAACATCCCAAGGTAAAACATTCACTGCCATTCTTGTTTATGTCAATGACATCATCTTGGCAGGCAACAATTTAGAGGACATTGAAGCCACGAAAACATTCCTCAAGGAAATGTTCAAATTAAAGGACCTCGGACAACTGAAATATTTCTTGGGCATTGAGGTGGCAAGGTCAAACAAGGGGATTACCATTTCCTAGAGAAAATATGCGTTGGAGATTCTTGAAGATACAGGATTCCTTGGCGCTAAACCAACGCCAAGTCCCATGGAAGAAAATTTCTCTCTCAGGAAAGATGACGGAGAGTATATTTTAGATCCTTCATCTTATCAGAGGCTTGTTGGTCGGCTCATTTACTTGACTATCACACGACCCGATTTAGTATATCCGGTTCACATACTAAGTCGCTTCATGGACAAGCCACAAATGCCACACTTGAAGGCAGCATATCGAGTACTACACTATCAAAAATACTCATGGACAAGGTTTGTTCTTCTTCGCAAAAAGTCTAATCCAATTGAATGCCTTCTACGATGCAAATTGGGCTCAATGTTGTGACACTACGCGTTCAGTTACTGGGTATTGTGTGTTCCTTGGGAAATCATTGGTCTCTTGGAAAACCAAGAAACAAGTCACTATATTGCGATCAAGTGCGGAAGTGGAGTATTGCTCCATGGCAGTGACGTGTTGTGAGATTGTTTGGTTGAAGTCCATCTTAAATGACCTAGGCATTTCACATTCATTTCCTGTCAAATTATATTGTGACAGCTAGGCTGCTCTCCACATTGCTTCCAATCTCGTGTTTCATGAAAGAACTAAGCACATAGAAATTGATTGTCATCTTGTACAGGAAAAGGTCCAAAGCCGAATGATCAAGACAACTCACATATCAACATCCCAAAAACCAGCAGACATGTTTACGAAGCCGCTAGGTCTTTCACAGTTTACAACCTTACTTGGCAAGTTGGGAACCATCAATATACATTCCAACTTGATGGGGAGTGTTGAGAAAAAGGAATGATTTGGAATGATCCTCTGACTTTGTATATTTAATCCCCTTCCTTGATCGCAGGAGTGTAGGTGAAATAATATCTTGTATAGGCTGATTTGTAGGATCTAAATTGATCCCCGTGTTGTATATAATCTCTTGTACCAATACATTACAATATATGACATTCAGTTTTTACACAAAAACTGCCCTTACACTAGGTTGGGATGAATATAAACATTCTCAAGGGCTTCAAGAGCAACTTACATATTCAAATTGCAAAGGAATGGGATGGGATGCATGGCGTGATATAGTTACTGATTCACAGATTAGAATTATGCGAATGGCAACTGTGTTATCGAAGTATTTTACACAAGAAGAAATTAAAGTGGCATTTCATCTTGAATTTGAAGAAGAAAGTAATGTATGTCTCTCTCTCTCTCTCAGTTGTTAAATTGAACAACTCGGGTTTTCTGCTCTCTAACACATTTATTGATGAACAGGAATATGTTTTTAAATCTCCAGTTTGCATTGTATGTCCGGGAAGTGCAATTCCAAGATGGTTCCCAAATGAAGTTGATAAATCTGTACTACGGATCGAACTTGGTTCAAACTTCTTTAACGCTAATTTTTTGGGTTTCGCTTATTCTGTTGTTGTTGCATTCAAGAATTATAATGTTGGAGGGAGTTTGAGGGTTGGATGTAAAATCAATTTCAAAGACTCTTGTGATCATCGTGTCCATCATCGGAGTTGCATGGTTGCCGAATATGGGGAAATCAATGAGTGCAAGTTTGAAACGCCTCACGTGTTCATCTGGTTTAGTACCTTTGACCATGTAAAGCAAGGAAGCTACAATGGCGTCACCGAGGCCATATTTGACTTCTACCCAATGACAGATGATCTTCCTGATGGCAGAGCCGTTGATTGTTCCAAGATAAAGGTGACAAGGTGTGGGGTCTTCCCAATGTATGCCCCAGTTGATTCGATATTGGCATCGAGGATGAAACTGGTGAGGGAGCACACGAATCATTTCCTTATTTAGTAGATCTCATGTTTAACAGGAGGGCTGCCAGACATGATCTAAGTCTCTGAATTATTTTGTAATTTACATGCTGTTTCTTTATTTGTGCAATTGAGATATACAAGTCCAACTACTACAATTGCTAAACTAAGTTTTCATGTAGTCTCTGCTCTCCAGTCAACTGCTATCACATCTCTTACTAGCTATTGCTTTGAGAGTCCCAAGGAGGGAAATCCGTCCTTCGTCTTTGTCTATTCAGTCCGAACAGATCTATTCTAGTTCTTTAAGAAGAAGACTAGCTTGGATCTGAAATTCTCACACCAGTTGGCACTTTATGTTGCTCGTCCTCAATCCTATAACCACTGTCTTTGTAAATTTAGTCTGCAAAACATCCTTGGCCTTAATTTAAGGAGCCTGGCTTTACCTCATATGGCTTTCCTGAGTCCAATTAACTTGATAGTCACACAGACAAAGGGGCCTATGAGATTGCATTTTGGCTCTTCCCATGAATGCGCCTATCACATGTCTAACTTTATGATCTTACCAGACATGGTCCTAATCTCATGCGCCATCGTTTGATGTCTAGAATTGGCTTGGGGGGTTGGATAACTGTTACCAGACAGAGACTCAAATAGTGTTGAATGAAGAAATGAATATCCACTTGTATAGTTACATGTTCTTGAAAGCTAATTGTACGCAAATGTAAAAACAAATTACTAAGAAGGATAATACAAACACGGAGAATGATTCTGTGATGTATACATAAGCAAATAAGAAGGATAAATTTATTTCGACATCTAGTTAATTCACATAATCATTTTACTTTTTTAGATAAGCAAATAAGCTTTCTGGAACTATGAAACCAAATTGTACATAGATGTAAAAGTCTCTGCTCCGCACAGCCGGAAACTAGCCTAACACACCAAGTAGATAAACAGGAACGCTATGTAGCTAGTCTCTGCAACTTCTTTCATGCATAATTCGATCCTGAGGTGATTAAAACGTCTTCCAATCAGTCATACACTATCTCTTTTTTTTCAAAAAGTAGAAAATAAAAAATAAAATAAAATTACGCAGTTCCCATCTCTGCATCTTATTTCTTGGTCTGAAAGTCATCCCACAGACTGACCAAAAAAAAAAAAAAGAAAGTCATACCACAGACTTACCCTAGGCTAATTCTCTATCAAAAGAGCACAGCGGTAATGTGTATATATATCTGTGTGTGTATATCTTCACTGTCCAAAGATTGTTATTTAATGAAGATTTTTTTGGTCCATCATTCTTGTTCTCATTGAAAGATTGACTTGTGGGGTTTGTAGGTTCTGAAAAGGATATGGCTTCGTCTTCATCTCCTCCACGTTTTTCTATACCCCCAGCTCTTCGAAAAAGTTTGATGTACTTAATAGTTTTAGAGGCGAGGACACCCTCCGTACTTTTACCAGCTATCTTCATCATGCCCTAGCAAGAAAATCGAAACCTACATAGATTGCAGAATTCACAGAGGAGATGAATTGCACCAGCCCTTCTTGATGCTATCGAGAAATCAGAGCTTTCGGTGATCATTTTCTTACAGAACTATGCGCATTCCTCATGGTGTTTGATTGAACTGGTGCATATAATGGAATGCAAGGAAAAAAATGGCCAATTGGTTGTACCCATGTTTGACGACATCAGTCCATCAGATTTAAGGAAAGAAAACGGGATTTATGCAAATGCAATTTTCTTAATTTTTTCTGAGCTAGGTGTCCAAAGACATATTGGGTGTAAAGAGAACTTCTCTAAAGTCAACCTATCATTCTGCCTCCCATTGAGATTAGTTGGGCAAGTGCCTCGGTTAACTGTTGTAACCCTAGTATAGGAGTACGTTCACGCATGGTCGGCATAACTCTGCCAAGTAGACATTAAGATATTAGCACAATAACTTGCACCATCCGATGCAAATGTATACCTACTAACCATGCTATGATACCAAACTGACCCATCCTGACCCAATAACCAACTAGCTAAAGGGTCGTAATGTGATAGCCGACACCAAGTTGACAATGTAACCTCGCCGTAAGGTGATGAAACACCATCAACTTAATGACAAAAGCCATAATAAGAAAATTATGATGTGAACAAATTTGAACCAACGAGGCTCTTTTATTAATTAATTCAAACTATCCTGCAAATCCTACACAACCACCCCACTTGGGGACTGTGGGAGGATAAAATCCGGGTTTCGACTCATGGGCCAATCCAAGTCACCTAAGGATGGTGTTATGCAAGATAAACCGTAAGGAAAGCCCACGAGGAACAAGCAGGTGCACGTGTCCAAGTAACCGCCTCCATTACGGAGGATCACCGAGGAAGTGGGAAAGGAAGGTATGATGTGGTGCTTGTTCCCGAAGCATGCAGTCATACTACGAGGACCACTAAGGAAGTGGGAAGGAGAGAGAGATCATGGTACTTGCTCTCCAGGCATGCAATCCTATAAAGATGGAGTGGAGCCAAAGAGCAAGGGAGGGAGAGAGGAGAACCCGAGAAAATCCAAAGAGTAGAAATCAATCGACTGACTTGAGCGTCGAGTATCTTTTGCAGGTACCCGCTCACCAAACTGCGGAGGAAGATAATTTTGGGACATCTCGAAGAAGGATTCGGCGAACGTGAGGATTGCGGTTAACAAATCTGTGGAGGTATTTCTTCTTGAGGAAATCTCACTCCAACAGTTGGCGCCGTCTGTGGGAAACACAAAATCAAACTACAAACATGACTGGATCCGCACAAGAAGTTCTGAATCCCTCTGAAGGCGTAGGGACTCGATCGGTACATGCTAGGTCTCAATCACAAAATAGTGAACCCAGTCTTGCCATGGAACAATTTAGAAGGTTAACGAGGGAATTACGTGAAACAAAAAAGATAGCAGATGAGGCATTGAAGAAGGCTGAAGCGAGAAATGTCGTAGAAGATGTAGCAGGCACCAAGAGACAACGTGCAGAAGAGGATGATAAGGAAGGTAGCTCTAGTAGCGCGCCATCCAGTAACTGTGTTGAAGTGACAAAGAATCAAGGCGAAAGGGGCTACATCGGAAAAGGATCGAAAAAGGTAAAAGATGTTGATTTGCGAGAACAAATTGAGAAGATTGTGAAGGGATACAAGCCACAAACCCCAGCGGAGCTTGCCTTAGAAGCGGCCAGAGGAATTCACAAATCGCCGTTCACAGAGGACATCCTGAAAGCTAAAAAACCTGCCAAGTTCACCCAACCAAAGTTTAGGTTATTTGAAGGCACGATTGATCCTGTCGAACACATTTACCACTTTCAACAGCAGATGGCACTTGAAGGAGACGATGAGGCCCTCCTGTGCAAGTTGTTCCCCTTAAGTCTTTCGGGATCATCTTTAACATGGTTCAGACAATTGAAATCGAGGTCTATCGGAAGTTTCACAGATCTCTGTGAAGCATTCATATCTCAATATGTTTGTAATCGGAGGCCAAGAAAAGATGTTACGATCTTGTTCAGCACCAAACAAAATGTTGGCGAGAGCCTCAAGAGCTACATGACTAGGTTCACGAAAGAGATGTCTACCCTAGAAGAGTGTGACTCTCACACAGCCGCTTTGGCATTCCGAGAAGGGGTGTTACCTAGAACAAAGATGCGTAGGTCGTTAATCGAGACACCACCACTGGACATGAGGGAGGTGATGGCCCGAGCTGATGGAATCATCAGATTAGAGGAAGAAGAACTTATCCAATCAAAGCAGGCCACCGCGACTATTGCTGCATCTCCAGCAGACATTACCGCACTTACCTTGAAACCCACAGCTCAACCGAGGAAAGAAAGAAGATTTTCACGGGATCCGAAGGATGGGTTTAGTGAAAGATCCAGACTTGATCGCCCAAACACTAAGCTGACAGTGAGCTTGGGCAAAATTTTTCACGAGAACAAGGGAAAAGGAATCTTTCGTGCGCCGGCCCCAATTCGAACGCCACTAGAGAAGCGAGACAGGAACAAGATGTGCGCTCATCACAACGACTTTGGTCATACCACTAATGTTAACACGTGGGTTCATGTTAACACATGGATATCACGTCATCAATTAAATAAGATTTCATACATCAAATATTGAAAACCAAGAAACTTTATAGTAGTAAAATAAGATTAACCAGAATACATACATATATAAGTCTTTGAGTTCATCATTTCATAATTTCTTGTTATTTAGTGAAGACTGTAATTTGATGAAGAATTTTTGGTTCATCATTTCTCGTTCTCATTGAAAGATTGACTTGTGGGGTTTGCAGGTTCCAAAAAGGATATGGCTTCGTCTTCTTCACCTCCGCCTTTTTCTATACCCCCAACTCATAGAGGAAAGCATGATGTATTTATTAGTTTCAGAGGCGAGGACACCCGCCGTACTTTTACCAGCCATCTTCATCATGCCTTACTTAGCAAGAATATCGAAACCTACATAGATTGCAGAATTCACAGAGGAGATGAAATTGCACCATCCCTTCTTGATGCTATCGAGAAATCAAAGCTTTCGGTGATCATTTTCTCACAGAAATTTGCGTCTTCCTCATGGTGTTTGATTGAACTGGTGCATATAATGGAATGCAAGAAAAAAAAAGGCCAATTTGTTGTACCCATTTTTTACGACATCAGTCCTTCAGATTTAAGGAAAGAAAACGGGATTTATGCAAATGCAATTGCTGAACACGAAAAATGCTTAAAGGGCAGTATGGGCAAGGTGCACAAGTGGAGGGCTGCTTTGGCGGATGCTGCCAATCTCTCTGGGTTTGATAATTCAAGCAAAACAGGGTAATTAGTTCTGTCATTCATTTGTTTTTACTCACGGCTATTTTATTTATTTATATATTTATTATACAAGCTTATTTGTAATTGGTAAGTAATATAATTAGGTAGCAAACTAACTAAGTAATTTGTGAAGAAATGTACTATAAAATACATATAGGAGTAACAGGATTAATTAAGGCATACTTATTAGTACAGGATTAATCAAGGCATACTTATTACTAACTGATTTTTGTCCTCGTAATCATATATATTTGTCAGGACGGAGGCTGAATTAGTTAAGAAAGTTGTAGACGATATTTGGACCAAATTGAATGAAAAATCATCAACTGTTTTGAAGGGCCTGGTTGGTGTTGTGCCTTGGCCCGTTTGTCAGTGCGGAAACGAGATTCAGATTACAACCTCACCAAAATCACACTCAGTTAAACAAAATAAAATACAAGAAATAAAGACACTGAGAAATTTACGAGGTTCGGCAAAAATCCTGCCTACGTCCCCGGAGAGATATTGCTCTTCACTATGAGAATAACAGTACAAGTTACACTTGAGTTAAATCGACATAACCCAAACCCCAATCCCTTGTACCCTCACAGAATTTTACTAAGAGACTCACTCTCCCCAAGAGTTTCTCACTCTTACTCTATATTTTCTCTTCTTTGTGTTCTCCTTCGGATGCTCTCTCTCACCCTTTCTCCACTTCGGCTCTTTGCAATTAAATGGACAGAAAAGTGAATCAACCTCTCCTTTTTTGCATAGACACAATGATGATCCATCATGCTTCCTTTACCTTTTACTCAAAACCCAAAACCACTTTCGTGGCATGCAAATGGGAAATCAATAAAAAAATGCCAAAACAAAAGAATCCCATGAAACATCATCATTGTCTTCCACTATTAGCCAAAATGAGATAGGGACATATTTGGCCACTATTCCGAAAGCATAACACACAAAGTCACTTAGTTGTTAACAGCTCAAAATATGAGCCAAGCACAACAGTTGGAATGGAAAGACGCTTTGAACAAATTGAGTCGTCATTATGCCTTGATTCACTTGATGTTTACAGTATAGGTATCTGGGGCATGGGTGGCATTGGCAAGACAACTCTTGCTGATGTTGTGTTTCACCGACTCTCTTCTAAATTCGAAGCTTCTTGTTTTCTTGGAAATGTTAGAGAGAAATCAGAACAAAAAGATGGACTAGTTCACTTGCGAAATACACTTCTTGGTGAGATATTAAGGGAAAAAGATCTAAATATCGGCACTCCAACAATAGGATCAGATCTTGTGAGAAAGAGGATGGGGTGTATGAAGGTCCTCATTGTTCTGGATGATGTAAATGATGCAAACCAATTAAGTTTTCTAGCCGGAGATCCTGTTTTATTTGGCCCTGGAAGTAGAATCATTATAACAACTATAGATAGGAGCCTACTCCAAACATATGTCGACCATAACAAAATATATGAGGTTGAGAGATTAAATTTTGATGAAGCACTTCAACTCTTTCATTTGAGTGCTTTCAAAAATAACACTCCTAGAGAAGATTATACGGAGTTGTCAAAAGTTGTGGTAGAATATGCTGGAGGAATTCCATTAGCTCTTCAAATTTTGGGTTCCTCATTCCTTCACTGTGAGAGCAAAGCAGATTGGGTAGAGGAGTTGAAAGAATTTGGAAACGAAAAGATCTGGAAAGTGTTGAGACAGAGTTATGATGGATTGAATGAAAATGAGAAGGAGATATTTCTTGATATAGCATGTTTCTATCAAGGGAAAGATGTATACATTGTAAATGAAATGTTACATATGTATGGTTTTCGTGCAGCGGGAATCAGAGTTCTGACCGATAAGTCTCTCATATCAGTTTCAACAAATAACAGCCTGGAGATGCATAATTTGTTACAAGAAATGGGTAGGGAAATTGTTCGCAAACAATCTATTGAAGAGCCCAGAAAATGCAATCGGTTGGTCATTGTTGAGGATGTCAATCATGAATTGAAAACCAATACCGTAAGAGCCAAATCCATCCACTATATTTAAAAACTAAAATAGTAAGGTAATAGTCGTATATATATAATCACATTTTTACATGTTCAACTTCTCACATCTACACTTTGCTCTTGACTGCTAGGAAAAGGCAATGATTCAAGCCATTCTCTTTAGCAGGTCTGGGATTAGAGGGATGCACTTGAATCATGCGGACTTCAAAAAGATCTACGATCTAAAATTGCTATATGTTTATAGCTCTAGCCGTAACATGTACTGCAAAGTAAAAGTTTCTCTTCCCCATTCTCTTACTTATCTTGACTTGGAAGGATACCCATTCAAATCTTTTCCATCAAAAATTTCTTCAGAGAATCTTGTCGAGATTCAAATGCACAACAGCCACATTGAGCAACTTTGGAACGAAGGCCAGGTATGTATATGCAATTATTTTACTAGTTATTATATATATCTCTTAGTTTGCTTGTTTTGTTGTTTGTTATTGATTCTTTCCATTTATCGTTGATTTGTTACAGAATCTTAGGAACTTAAAAGTGATGGATCTTGGTTCGTGTGATCGTCTGATTAAAGTTCCAGATCTCTCTCAAAGTCCAAACATTGAGCATATAGATCTTTATGGGTGTAAAAGTTTGGTTGAAATTCCTTCGTATTTTCAGTATCTCGAGAAGCTTAGTTATCTAAACCTGACAGACTGCACAAAACTCAAATACCTTTCAGAGATGCCACACAGTATTGAATACTTATATTTAGATAGCACCGCAATAGAGGAATTGCCTTCATCAGTTTGGTCTCTTGAAAAACTTTGTTCCCTGGAAGTTCACTTTTGTGAAAACCTTAAGAATCTTCCAAGCAACACTTGTAATTTGAAAGTATCCGGTTCTTTTAGTCTAAAGGGCTGCTCATCTCTTGTCGAGTTTTCTAAGCTTCCCAGGAATATAACAGAGTTAGATTTGAGTGGGACAGCAATTGAAGTATTGCCCGCATCACCACTGGAGTGTCTCCTTGGTCTTGGTGAGATTAAACTGAACAACTCCAAAATGCTTGTGAGTCTCCCAGAAAGCATTGGTAATTTGAAATCACTTGAGAGACTTGATCTGAGCGGAACCGCGATCAAGAGCCTACCTGCAAGCATCAAAGAAGCTTCTCGGCTGCGTTGGCTGTGGTTAACCAATTGCAGGAGCCTTGAATCTTTACCAAAGCTTCCAGGCGTACGTTGGCTTCAGGCACACGGCTGCACGTCACTCAACAGAGTGAGTTTAAAGACTGCGCTTGTTCTAGATTGGGATGAATATAAACATTTTCGAGGGATTCAGGAGCAATTTACATTTTCAAATTGTGGAGTAATGGTTCGGCATGTTCGGGGTTATAATAGCAGATGCGCTCATTCGAATTATGCGAATGGCAACTGCATTATCAAAGTACCTTGAACAAGAAGAAATTGAAGTAGCATCTCATCTACAACTTGAAGAAGAAAGTAATGTACGTTTCTCTCTCTCTCTCTTAAATTTAATAACTGTGATTCTCTGCTCTCTAACACATTAATATGTTTTCACTGACCAGGAATATGTTTTCAGATCCTTAATTTGCGTTGTATGTATCGGTGGTGAAATTCCAAGTTGGTTCCGTGACAGTTGTGATCAATCTTCCATAAGGATCAAGCTTTCTCCAAAACATTTTGGTGGAGACTTCCTAGGTTTCGCTTATTCTGCTGTTGTTGCATTCGACAACTATAATGTAAAAGGGAGTTTGAAGCTTGGATGTAAGATTAATTTCAAAGCCAATGGTGACCATCCTTTCTGTCATCGGAGTTACGTGGTTGCCGACTATGGAGAAATCAGTGACTGCAGCTTCAACACGTCTCACGTATTCATCTGGTTTAGTACCTTTGACCGGGTAGAGAAAGGAAACTTGAATGGCGTCACGGATGCCATTTTTGAATTTTACCCAGTAATAGACCAGCGTCCTGATGGGAGAGCCGTTGATTGTTCCAACATCATTGTGACAAAGTGTGGATCTTGCCGTTGTATTTGGGAGATGATTGGAAAATAAAAGGTTTAAAAACTTCGTATGCCGCAGTTGATTTGATGTCAAAAATGGTGACAAGTCGACAGACACAACGCAGCTGATCGATCCAAAATGGGGTCTCCTTCCGATGATGTATAATGTATAAGTACAATGGTAATATGAAATGTATAAGCACAGTGGTTATACAAAGTTTCTGTGATAATGTGCTGGAAATGGTCGAAAGCTATTCTAGATGTACATGTAAGGTCCTCCTTTCTGCGATGTGGAATTCATGTATGCTCTCAACAAACTCAACCTCTGTCTATAAGACTTTTCTAAACCAATTTGAATCACAATAGTTGACTATAACAACTAGTTTCATACTCGCATTATATCATAACTTTTTTCTTTTTTGGAGAACCTCACCGGTAATAGGGAATTTAATCATATTAGGCAATCTCCAACCGAAGGCTGGCCAAAGGGCTAGTTTTAGCCCTCTGGCACTTCAAGAAATTAGTATTTTAATGAACAGTGTAGGGTCATATTCCCTACCATCTCCAACCGAGGGCCAAATGGTTATAGGGCTTGTTTTAGCTTGTTACAAAAACAGTCTCCAATCGAGAGCCAAATGTTGAAGATCAACACCAACCAATTGGTGTTTGAATTCTAGAAGATTCTAGCAAGTAATATTAAGGTGGCCGATGCATGCTTGAATATGCTAGACAATTCTAGCAAGCTATTGTCGGTAAAGTGTTATGCTAGAAAACTCTAGCAAAGTAGCATCAATTTGAAAAAGCCAAGTCGGTTAACTTAGGCTGGAATAATCTAGAAAAATGGTATGTTGGTGGAAAATCTAGAAACAAACCACACGTGGTTGGGAAGTAATTAAGTAGGTCGGTTGTGATTAGAATATACTAGAACATGTTTGAATTAGTGGTTAGGATGTGATTAGCCATAAGCACCGACTCAATGGTGTCGGTATGTACCATCTATATATATATGAGATGGTTGTATTGTTAGATGTAACCAACCAACCAATCAAGAAGGCAACCAAGTGAAAGTGAGAAATAAGAATAATTTTGTAGGAGTGTGAGTGATCTAGAGTGTATCTCTAAAAAGTGAGTGATTGTCATTGCTTCTAAAGTTGCGTCCTTGTGAATGTTGTAATATTTTTTGTGTGTAATACAAGTAATTTATTTACTTGTGTTGTCTCTCCAATACTTGTGTTAGAGTTGTGTACTTTAAGTTTTTTTCTCAATACCAAAGGACTATAATATGGAATGTGAAGAATTGAAATAAAATGATGTAAGATAATATGAAATAGTGAAAAATATGTGAGAAATGGTGTATGAAAAAATTAGAAATTAAAAAAAAAAGGTCAAAAAAAAAAAAAAAAACTAAGCCCTAAACCCTAAAGTGGGCTGGGCAATGGTAAAAGAACAAAAAAAAAGAGTAAATTACACAGTAGCCCCTCAGGTTTTGAGGTCTATTACAACCTCATACAACATCTTCAAAACATTTCACTTTCATACCTTAAGTACTATTTTATTTCAAAATAATACATCCGTTACATTTTTCATCCAGTGATCCGTTAAATGCTGACGTGGCTGTCACATGTATGCCACGTGGCTGCCAAAATGTCTGCCACGTGGCAAATAAAAAAAAATTTAAACCTGAATTTTCTTAAAAAAAAAAATTAAACTCACTATCCCTACCCCCCAGCGACCCAAATCCCTCCTAACCCCTCCTGCTGCAGCAGCAAGAAGAAGAAGGAGGGGAGGAAGAAATCCCCCTAAAACCCCCCCCCCAAAATCCCCCCCCAAAACCAATCCAAACCCTCGCATCCCCCTCTGTGAACCAAATCCCTGCAAACCAAGAAAAAAAAAAAAAAAAAAAAAAACCCCTCCATATCCCGTCTGCGAACCCAGAATGCAAAGGGAGGGGCCAGGAAGGGAGGAAGAAATAAGGAAAATCCCAAAACCCAATTCCTTCCCTCCGGGTTTTTGGCTTCCCCCCCCCCCCCCCCTTCTCACCCGGGGGTTGTGGGTTCTTCTTCTTCTTTGGTTTGGGGTGTGGAAAAAAAAAAAAAAAAAAAAAACCCCCTCCATATCCCGTCTGCGAAGGTGGATGCAGAGGGAGGGAGGGCCACGGGTGGGGGGGGGTGCACAAAGGAGGCGGGTTTTTTTGTTGGGTTTCTGGGTTTTGGGGGGTGGGGGTTGACGGGTTTATTTCAGCCTTTTTTTTTGTAATTTTAATTATTATTTATATTTAGAAGATTTAGGTTTTAAATAAAAAATTAAAAAAAAAAATTTTTTTGCCACGTGGTAGACATTTGGCAGCCACATGGCATATATGTGGCAGCCACGTCAGCATTTAACAGATCAAGGATATTGTATGAAGTTGAAATATACTCCAAACCTGAGGTATGAAAATGTAATTTACCCAAAAAAAAATTGAAATTGGGCTAGCCAGTGGGCTGGCTGGCTGGCTGGCTGAAAGTGGACAGCCGGTTGGCCTTTTGGCCCTTTCAGATTCCCAGGGGTCCACGAGCCATCTGGCCTAGTTGGTGATGATCTTACTTTCCATTGGTTGTCAGGGATATGAAATTCCAAATTCGTTCAACAATCAGAATGAGGGATCTTCCATAACTATCAAGCTTCCTGCAAATTGGTTTCGTAAAGGTTTCTTGGGTTTCGCTCTATCTGTTGTCGTTGCATTCGACAGTTGTCTGGTTTAATGGGTTGTGCAGTTTGGATGCATGTACAATTCAAAACTAGCAATGGTGAAAAGCCTTGAATTTAATTGTCCTTTCCAAGTTCCATGTTTGGTTGGAAAAGTTTATTCGTGCAGATTAGATTCAGATCACGTCTTCCTGCTGTATGAAGCCTTGAACTTTATAATAAGGATTCGAAGTACGAACAGAGTGCCCGCTGTTGACCACCTGAAGAACTGCAGGTTTTGTATCTTTGACAAGAGGGTTGTTTCACATCAACTTTGCATACCCAGGAAGACTTGGGTTGCGTATATTTATAGCCAACATACAGAACATACAGATTACATTTAAGGTTTGAAACCCTAGTTACATAAAGTCCTAAGCCTATCCAACTCCGAAGAGAGAGGTCTTTGAAACCAAATACAAGACTTCAAACAAACAGTCTTTGAAACCAAATACAAGACTCCACACAAACTAACGACTTGGGATTAGGTTTACAGATGCCATCCTTAGAACGAGTGGTCATAGAGTGAACTGGTGGTGACTCATGCACAGTCTGCACTGGTTGAACAGAAGCTGGGACGGATTCTTGCTCAGTTGGTAATCCTAAGGGAAGGACAGACGCACTAGGGTTAGGTGGAACAATGGGTAAGCATGTAGATGCAGGGGGACTAGGTTGGGACACGGACGGAGGTAATGGTGAGGTAGTGTTTGGGGTAGAAGCAGGGAGAGGGGATTGACAGGCTTCAAGTGGCTGGCTGTGAAGGTGTAGAGAAGAGGAAGGAGCAAGATTAGGAAAAACAAACAGTAAGTCTGGGTTGGAATTGTTACCTGAGGTGACGTTTTCCTTTGGAGGTGTGAAATCCTGAAACGGAAAGGAGTCCTCATCAAATAGGACATGGCGAGACAAATAGATACGTCTCGTGGATAAATCCAAACATTTATAGCCTTGATGATCCAAGGAATATCCTAAGAAAACACACGATTTAGACTTGGGTTCGAGCTTGTTTTGTGCATAAGGGCGTAGCCAAGGGAAACACCGACACCCAAACACTTTAAAGAAATCATACTGTGGTTTTCTGCAAAACAATTTTTCATAGGGAGACATGTTACCAAGCACTCGAGTAGGAAGCCTATTTATGATGTAGGTGGTTGTTTGACATGTATCAACCCAATAGTGGGAAGGAATGTGAGCATGAGACAACATGACTATGGCTGTTTCGACAAATGACGGTGTTTTCGCTCAGCGAGACCATTTTGTTCAGGATGTTTAGGACATGAAAACCGTTGACAAATGCCATGCTTTACAAGAAAATCACGAAACATATGGCTTGTATACTCGCCACCTTCATCACACTGAATTACTTTGATGGAACGATTGAACATGTTTTCAACTTTTGCTTAGAATTTCATGAAAATTTGAAACACTTCCGACTTAGTTTTCATTGGAAAAACCCACGAATATCTTGAAAAATCATCAACAAATAATACGTAATAACGATAACCTTCAATGGAAACAACGGGGGAACACCAAACATCGGAATGCAAAAGTTCTAACGGAAACTTTGAAACGGACTCGGAAGACTTAAAAGGCAATTTAGTACTCTTGCCTAAAGGACATGACTGACAAAACCGTAAATCAGAGGTGCCACTAATTGGCACTTGTTTATTGGAAATCAAAAACTTTATTATTGTAGACGCATAATGACCAAGACGAGCATGCCACTTCTGTGCAGACACTCGAACTCCAAAACATGCAGACAAGAAACGTTTGGATAATCCACCGCCATTTGGAAATGGGTATAACCCATTCTCACACCTCCCTTGGAAAAACGTCTTCTGAGTCTTGAGGTCCTTTATAACAAAAAAAGATGGAAAAATAAGTATATAACAGTGATTATCAAGGGTAAAACGATGGGCAGAAATTAGGCTAGTTGAGGCGGAAGGACAGTGAAAGACATCAGTTAGGTTAAAGGAGCAAGAATCAGTCTTAATTGTAGTCGAACCAGAATGTGCAATAGATAGTCCAGAATTATTACCTACACCTCCAATATTTTCATTACCAGTATACTCATTGGGATTCACCAGATTATGAAGGTCAGGAGTCACATGAGCATTTGCCCCAGTGTCAAGTAACCAAGACCAATTTTGTTGACGATTAAGTGGGAGTGGAGATGATGCCATAGCACTGAGACGCTGGGCTGGGATACGCCCCTCGTATGCAGCATTCATCCGTTGGTAGCAGTCAAGGGCTGGATGCCATTCTCTTCCACAAATCTGGCACGTTATGCGGCCACTGCCACATCCAAACCTGTCGGCAGACTGCACACATTGATTGGTGTTACTGTTGTTTCCGTTGCGAGGAGCACCCCCTCGCTGGGACATAGAAGAACCACGATTGGACTGACCACCACCACGGCCCGCGCCTCGAGAACGTCCACCACGTCCTCTTGTAGCGACATATGCAGTCACTGGAGCAGTTTCAACCAAAGGAACAGTCTGCTCCACCATTCTCCTCTCAGTAGTGAGAAGGAGAGCCTCCAAAGTAGGGTACGTGATAGGAGTATCACGTGCTTGCGCAGCATTCACAGTCATTTCAAAAGCCGGTCCCAGATTATTAAGAATAATCTGAACTAACTCATCATCATCAACAGGCTTGCCAGTAGGGCAAGGTTATCAGAAATAGAATTCATTTTGTCAAGGAAATCAGCAACAGAGAGGTCACCTTTTTTGGTTTGTAGCAGCTCGTTTCGTAAAAACAAGATCCTGTTTTGTGAAGATGACGCATAACGTTGCTCCAGAGCCTCCCAGGTTGCACGCGAAGTGCGTTTGCTTGCCACGGTGGACAGTACAGAGGCGGTGAGGGAACCATTGATCCAACTAAGGATCATTTGGTCCTGTTGTACCCAGCTAGTGTACGCGGGATTAACTGCTATGTCTCCAGCGAGATGCTTTAGAGGACAAACACAGGAGCCATCCACGTATCCCATCAGATCTCGACTCTTCAGGATAGGAAGACTCTGTGCCAACCACAAAGGATAGTTGGTTCGGTCCAGCTTAATATTAACGATGGTGGTCATTGCGGAGGAAAAGGGATTGATTGTAGGTGGTGGGGTAGGGATAAGGTTGTTGCTGGAGTTGGTGGCATTGGTGTTAACTTCTGACGACATGGTAGAAGGTAGTGGACAATGGGAAGAAGAAAAAAAAAATTGGATCGTTGTCGTTGGACTCAAAAGGCTCTGTGTACCATAAACAAACTCAAGAATTGCAGGTTTTGTATCTTTGACAAGAGGGTTGTTTCACATCAACTTTGCATACCCAGGAAGACTTGGGTTGCGTATATTTATAGCCAACATACAAAACATACAGATTACATTTAGGGTTTGAAAACCCTAGTTACATAAAGTCCTAAGCCTATCCAACTCTAAAGAGAGAGGTCTTTGAAACCAAATACAAGACTTCAAACAAACAGTCTTTGAAACCAAATACAAGACTCCACACAAACTAACGACTTGGTCTAACACTGGATACGTTCAGCAGACTTCACTGGAGTCATATGGTGAAAAAGTGTGGCATGTGTTAGACCTACATCTGGTTAGTCTTCAACAAGGATCACATCTCCTACATATCTTACATAGAACATTGCAAGAATTGAAATGAAGAAAGACATCAATCATACATGATAACCCCATCGATCAAGCAGCAAAGACAGCAGCAAAACCAAGAGTCTTCTACTCACTGAGGAACCTGATATCAAAACCCTAGCGATAGTTCTAGATCTTGTTTTGACGTTATCTTCCCGTGAGCAGGGACACCTCCTACATAGACTTATAATCCAACTGCATCCCAACTATCGTGGGATCGTTGAAGCCTAAAAAACCTCCACATTTGTCAGTTGTTAAACCACAACTGAAGCACGTATATAGTGTCCTACAAACAAGAGATTTTATCCTTTAAATGGTTTTGACTTTAATTAATTAATTCCACGTATGATTGTCCTTATTATGCTCAGTGACAATTCAATAGAATCCTAACAGCATGTGCTTGTTGTATGCCGAAGGTGCTGAGAAGTTGAAATTTAATGTCATGTTGGGAGGACCACAAGCAGAAGAAGATACGGGGGTGAAATGAAACTGAAGCAAAAGGAAGTGATGGGCCTGAAGCACGTGGAAGTGACGAGTCAGAAGCCGAGAAATGTTTTAGTTGTTATAATGGTTATAGAGAACAGAATGTGGTAGTGGGTGTTGCAAGTCTTGTGGCGGAGGATGCTTTTGGGCTACATCTCCGGTGCTCCTTTGTACATCTACCTACTACCGGACGCGCAAGACGGACCCTATGGTGATTACAATGTTGAGGTGAAAAGTGTGGGATCTGCCTGATGTGTGCCCGAAAAGTTGAGAAATTTGGTATCAAAGTTGAAGAGAGCTCCAACGAGACCAAAGAGACGCCGTGAAGAATCTGAAGCAAGTGGAAATGAAACTTATAGACCTTAATCAGTGACATTACAAGGAACAAGGAGAAGAACTACTTTTTCCAGTGGCAAACACATTTTGGTTTCTTCATTTGCCTTCCTCAAATGGTTAGCGTTTTTGCACAAAAACAACTTCCAAAACTGAAAAAATTAAATTGAAAGACTTCGTAAAAACTCTGACAGATGATCAGACTCGTTGATAGCGATTATGTGTATGTAATTTGCAAGCTAGAGCAAATCTAAATAAAAGGAAAATACCTTGTCATTCTTTCCTTCAACAGATACACCAAACAAGAGAGTTGAATAATTCCATGCCTACAATAGAGGACGCATCGGAATAAAAAGGACAAAGAAATTGAAGAAAATTTAAGAGTAAAGCCTCAATTCCAAGCCCTTACAATAGCCACACCCTAAACCCTAAACCCTCATATCTCCGCCATATATACGTTCCTTTCCTGCCTTACGGAAGGAATCATCAAAGAAAAGAAAATAATGACATTAGCACGAATCCTGTACAAGGTTCAAAATCTGAATAGACCAGTATTGCCTGCCACCACTTACTGTTATTTCAAGCCGAAGCTGATGAACTGCTGAAGCCTGTATATACAATGTGCTTTTCCGTCACGGCCACTTCAATTGTACAAATCACGCTCGTCCATGTAAGTAAGTAACCTATCAAAACCGGTGACAGAAAGACCCAAAGAATTTGGTGAAGAGTTCGTTTAGACAAAACTGCTAACTTGCCAAAATTGGAAATCCTGTCTTCAACCTTCAGTCTGAAAAGAACTCTTCGAGTTCTGGTTGGTCGGATTTGAGTAGATCACTTGGACCTGAAACTCTTCCACTAGGCAGCACTTTCCCCAGAGACTGATTTGTAATTTCAGCATAATCCATCTCAGACCAATCTTGCTCGTCCTCGGTTACTTGCTCATCTGTCGCATAACCACTGTCCTTGTTCGTATAATCCTCCTTAGCCTTTGTGTCAGATGTGCTACAAATGCAGGCAGCGGGGTTTTCGTGGAACACACCCCTTCCTGGCTTTACCTCATTTGGCTCTCCCAAGAATCCAATTTGATTTGTTCGAATCCTCGATGCAAATTCTTCCCAAGTCATGTTATTACGATTTATGAACAACTGAGACAGTTTCTTAGCATTTGGACGGATTGTTGGTTTGTGACCAAAGTATCTCCTGCATGAACAAACTTGTTACAGCTAAAACATGAATCAAATCAGAATCTTTTACCTTAGAAAAATAAATGTATTGTTAACTTGAGTTTTAGTACCTTCGACCAGCTAACATTTTAGCCATATTGCCATTGTTGTTGGTGACGAAAACATCACTTTCATCGCAAACAATAAAGTCCAGTGCAGCCATTCGAGAAGAGAAGGATGAAAATGGGGCCAACTCCTCCTTGCTTAACAGAGTCTCTTTTGTGTGGAAGTTTGGGAAAAGTGTTTTTAGGGGTGCCAATGTCTCTTCACTTCCATAAACTTCACCGGATGCCACATACAAGTGAACATCACTTCCGAAACCCAACGCTCTAAGCATGAGACCAACTTCCTCTGGAGTTAGCGGGCATCTGCCATGTCTTCTTACCTTGTCAGGGTTGCTTGCCTGCACATAATACAACCCCATAAAAAATAAAATAAATAAAAAATTATGATCCAGAGGCAAATTATATGATACAGGAAATCATTGAACGGCATTATTCAAGTCATTGCTCATTAGTGGAAGCCTTACATGTAAAGTTTTCCACCTTTTCCGAAGTTTGCCAAGCTCTTTCCTTTCTTTTTCTCCCCCACCATAATCGCATCCAGAAAATGCCAGCATATCCGGCTCAAACCTATAACATGACCAACCAATGTCACAAACTTTTTTCCACATACTCCAACAATTTTTCAAAAAACACTAAAAACCATCAAAATAACCTAAACAGAGGTTTTTCTACAGTACCCAAGCATATCCTACCGAGAAGTTTTCCTCACTCGGAAAATTAAGGGAACACTACCCCAACCTACATGCTCCACTCAGAAAGCTTCAACATACAAGCTTCAACAAAAGAAAATTCAAAGAACTTAGCGAAGAAGGCTTTGGTGTATTTAACACAATACGTTGAAATGAAGGAAAGCTTATTTATTGATATCCCCGATAAGCTACAAATATGTACATATACATGAGTCAAAATAAACACACAAGAGGGAGCCTTCACAAAGGTTGCTTAGGAGAAGTCTCAGCAGTCGGTAGAGCCCCAGAAAGAGAAGGCACCGGAGGGGGATCATTTGGAGCCTCAGTACTGGACAAAACCCTAGAAGGAGGAGGCATCAAAGGTTGATCATTTGGAGCTTCATTACGCGGTACAGCCCCAGAAGACGAAGGCAATAAATGCCTTTGGAACAAACCCACAAATCTCTGATGATCAAGTAAAAACCTGACCATCAGTTTCCTTCATCTGGTCAAGCTTCCTCTTCATGTTTGTAGCATAGTCATGTGCGAGCCGGTGCAACTGTTTATTCTCATGCTTGAGCCCTCTAATCTCCTGTTTGAGACTCATCACTTCAGCCGCCAATGATTCAACTTGGCGGGTTCGAGCAAATAGGCGTTGGGCCATATTAGACACAGAACCTGCACACTGAACACTGAGAGCCAGCGAATCCTTAACAGCTAACTCATCAGACCGTTTGGAAAGTAGTCTGTTATCTTTGGGAGTGAGAAGGTTCCTGGCCACCACCGCAGCGGTCATATCATTCTTCATCACGGAATCCCCAACGGTAAGAGGACCAGTAGGGGAGACGAAGGATGGGCGCCATATGTTGTCTGGAGAAGGCGGGGCTGCCTCTTCAACAAGGTTCAAGTCAAACCGACGGTCGGAGGGGCCAGACATTTTCAAAGGTGTTGAAGAGAGAAGAGGTCGGACAAATCAAGATCTTAGAAGTGCAAGAATGAAGCTTCTACTACTGGTGGAGATTTAAGTGTGCTTTGGAACTTAATGCCAGCCCCTATAAAAATCTGCACTCGACGAAGCTTCAGAAATCGAAGAGGCGCCTGCTCAGAAATCGAAGAGGCGTTTGCTTTCTCAAAAGCTGGGCTGCTTAGAGATCACGAGGGTTGATCTCAGAAATCGAAGAGGCGTTTGCTTTCTCAAAAGTTGGGCTGCTCAAAGACCACGAAGGCCGATCTCAGAAATCGAAGAGGCGCTCGCTTTCTCAAAAGCTGGGCTCCCCAGAGAGACCACGAGGGCCGATCTCAGAAATCGAAGAGGCACCTACTTTTCCAGCCTTGTCAGCACCTGTCACACGCACACTCAGCTTTGCGGAAATTATGCGCATTCTGTCGAAGACTTCTGGGGAAGTAGAAAACACATGAATCTTACTGTTCAATCACCCACTTCCCACACGCAACAATAGCTCATGGGTACCACAGATAACTTTGCCAAAGTTCTCTGCCAAAGTTGAGCACGTGAAGCTTACAGCTCCCACTACATCGCTCTGACCAAGAAGGGTAAAAGAATAGCAAAGAAACAGCACTAACAAAGTTTAGACCCATAAATTTTGAAGGTCTAGCTACCATATTATTACCCACAAGGGTAAAGGAACAGTACCACTGCTGGATAATTGGAAAGTCCCGGTGTGTCAACCTATGTGCTTCGTGGCAAGGTAGACTAGCAAACATGCCCAACCTTTACTCACATTCGAGAAAACACTCCCAATAAGATTGCTTGCTCCAAAATCGAAGAGGCACCGTCCTCCGAATCTCGAGAGCCAGACTCCCAACATGACTACTTTCTTAAAAATCGAAGAGAGGGTAAAGGAACAGTACCATTGCTGGATAATTGGAAAGTCCCTGTGTGTCAACCTCTGTGCTTCATGGCAAGGTAGACTAGCAAACATGCCCAACCTTTACTCACATTCGGGAAAACACTCCCAACAAGATTGCTTGCTCCAAAATCGAAGAGGCACCGCCCTCCGAATCTCGAGAGCCAGACTCCCAACATGATTACTTTCTCAAAAATCGAAGAGACACTGCTCCCCGAATCTTCGAGAGCCAGACCCCCAACATGATTGCTTTCTCAAAAATCGATGAGGCATCGTTCTCCGAATCATCAATCGAAGAGGCGCTCGCTTTCTCAAAAGCTGGGCTGCTCAGAGACCACGAGGGCCGATCTCAGAAATCGAAGAGGCACCTACTTTTCTAGCCTTGTCAGCACCTGTCACACGCACACTCAGCTTTGCAGAAATTATGGGCATTCTGTCGAAGACTTCTGGTGAAGTAGAAAGCACATGAATCTTACTGTTCAATCACCCACTTCCCACACGCAACAATAGCTCATGGGTACCACAGATAACTTTGCCAAAGTTCTCTGCCAAAGTTGAGCACGTGAAGCTTGCAGCTCCCACTACATCGCTCTGACAAAGAAAGGTAAAAGAATAGCAAAGAAACAGCACTAACAAAGTTTAGACACATAAATTTTGAAGGTCTAGCAACCATATTATTACCCACAAGGGTAAAGGAACAGTACCACTGCTGGATAATTGGAAAGTCCCTGTGGGTCAACCTCTGTGCTTCGTGGCAAGGTAGACTAGCAAACATGCCCAACCTTTACTCACATTCGAGAAAACACTCCCAACAAGATTGCTTGCTCCAAAATCGAAGAGGCACCGTCCTCCGAATCTCGAGAGCCAGACTCCCAACATGACTACTTTCTCTCAAAATCGAAGAGAGGGTAAAGGAACAGTACCATTGCTGGATAATTGGAAAGTCCCTGTGTGTCAACCTTTGTGCTTCGTGGCAAGGTAGACTAGCAAACATGCCCAACCTTTACTCACATTCGAGACAACACTCCCAACAAGATTGCTTGCTCCAAAATCGAAGAGGCACCGTCCTCCGAATCTCGAGAGCCAGACTCCCAACATGACTACTTTCTCAAAATCGAAGAGAGGGTAAAGGAACAGTACCATTGCTGGATAATTGGAAAGTCCCTGTGTGTCAACCTTTGTTCTTCGTGGCAAGGTAGACTAGCAAACATGCCCAACCTTTACTCACATTCGAGACAACACTCCCAACAAGATTGCTTGCTCCAAAATCGAAGAGGCACCGCCCTCCGAATCTCGAGAGCCAGACTCCCAACATGATTACTTTCTCAAAAATCGAAGAGACACTGCTCTCCGAATCTCGAGAGCCAGACCCCCAGCATGATTGCTTTCTCAAAAATCGAAGAGGCATCGTTCTCCGAATCTCGAGAGCCAGATACCATAGACCACTTTTTCAAAGTGCTCTGACAGAGTTAAAACATGTGAAACTGGCAGCTCCCACTACCGTGCTATGACTATGACCAAGCAGGGTAAAGGAATAGCATTACTACTTGTTAGGGAGACTCCTATATATGTCGACCTCCATCCCCAACGGACAGGCAGACCTGCAAAAATGCTCAACCCTTCATCATATCTGAGAGGGCACTCCCAACGAAGCCTTTCGAAATATTCAGCTTTCTTTCCCCCCCCGATAATACCTCTGCAAACAAGCTATACTAGAGCAAGAATATCTCATATCATCAGGGTTAAAAAGCAAGAGTATCCCATATCATGCTTTTTCCCTGTCTTTTCCTTTGGCCTTGTTTTTTACCTGCAAGACAAGGAGAAAGAGAGCAATCAATCAGCACTTGGAATCAAGCTTCCAGCCAGGAACTGACTGCCTGGAACCCCTTACCTGATTACTTACCTGGCATTGCTCTCGAGTACTCATCTTCAACATCTTATGTTTCCAGGGAAGATTCCGCATCTGCTTGAGGAACAGATAGGGCAAGTGCGAAGGATACAAGGAAGCATGTGGAGACAAGCGTAACAGCACACGTGCCGATACATCCATTACTCTGTCAAAAGCAAAAGTATCCCATATCAGCAGGGTCGAACGTACTCTAGATTTGATGGACTTGTTTTGACCCTCAAATTCTTCAGTCGGCCTTATACTCTGGAGGAAACCAGAAAACCCTCCAGCTCAGTTCAAGAATAAGCCTGTGGAAAGTTACTTCTTCAAAAGCAAAAGTATCTCATATCATCTCTTCTCATTTTTCTTCTCTTTATCCTTCATGCTGCTGCAAGATGGGGAGAAGGTGAACAATCAGTCGAAGCTCTGATTGCTTACCTTGTCTGTCACCTCTTTCAGCAGACCCCCTAGCTCGGCGACTTGGGGGACTCCTACTACATGGTTTGTATCGCGCTTGACCAAGCCTGAAACTACAAGTAAGCTTCAAGTGAAATTGATACATTACCTTGTGCATCTCCACCAGTTAAAGATACCACCCCTGGATGGAGGAAGAGTACTTCCAGAGAAGATGCCACATCTACCTATGAGACAGATAAGGCAAGTCAAGACGACACCACACTCCGATACTTAGAAGTTTCGTGATTACGAGATCATTCTCCCCACAATATTTCCTAATGTCATTTGTACTAAATCATTCACTTGTACTCACTAAAGGAAAGTTTGAACCTATGTACTTGTGTAAACCCTTCACAATTAATGAGAACTCTTCTATTCCGTGGACGTAGCCAATCTGGGTGAACCACGTACATCTTGTGTTTTGCTTTCCTATCTCTATCCATTTATATACTTATCCACACTAATGACCGGAGCAATCTAGCGAAGATCACAAAAAGCGACCGTTTTCGCTACCTAGGATCTATCTTGCAAGAGAACGGAGAATTAGATGGAGATCTCAACCATAGAATACGAGCTGGATGGATGAAGTGTAAGAGTGCATCCGGCGTGTTGTGTGACCGTCGTAGGCCACTGAAGCTCAAGGGAAAATTTTATAGGACGGCAATAAGGCCAGCGATGTTGTATGGCACAGAATGTTGGGCGGTGAAGCATCAACACGTACACAAAATGGGTGTAGCGGAGATGAGGATGCTTCGTGGGATGTGTGGGCACACGAGAAAGGATAAGATTGGGAATGAGGATATCCGAGGTAAAGTAGGAGTAGCCGAAATTGTAGGAAAGATGAGAGAAAATCGGCTCCGGTGATTTGGACATGTGCAAAGAAGGCCAACTGACGCTCCGGTTCGAAGATGTGACTACGGGACAGAGGTTCAGGGCCGAAGGGGTAGAGGAAGACCTAGGAAAACTTTGGAAGAGACTCTAAGAAAAGACTTAGAGTACTTGGATCTAACGGAGGACATGACACAAAACCGAGCGCAATGGCGTTCTAGGATTCATATAGCCGACCCCACTTAGTGGGAAAAGGCTTTGTTGTTGTTGTTGTTGTTGACCCAAGCATATTATTCTGAGAAAACAGAAAGTTCGACCATTTTTCAGGAACAAACAAACATTAGTACTCGATGTATCCATTGCAGTACAACAACAACAAAGCCTTTTCCCACTAAGTGGGGTTGGCTAGATGTATCCATTGCAGTAGACTAGAAAAAAAACAAAACATCTGTACAATCAATTCTATTGAAGGCACAGCTTACTCATGGTATACTAGTATGTGTAAAAAAAAAAAAAAAAAAGGTCGTACCCAGTGCACAAGGCTCCCGCTTTAAGCAGGGTCTGGGAGAGGTGAATGTCGGCTAGGGAAAAATTACTCCAGCAGTTAAAAATAAATTGCAGTTTACCTCAAATGCAGGGTAATGAAATGCTTGCTTTTCATGCTCATTCTCTCAACCAACTTTTTACCCATTTTGCTAATCGTGTCGGTAAATTTCAAGGCTTGATAATTGGCTCTACATCTCAGCTTTTGTAAATTTGAATCCAACTTATTTGAAAGTCTGTAATCAAATTTTGTGAGCTGAACAGCCTGCACATTAGAAAGCATAACCTACAACTGTCAATTCTATGTACCCTGAAAAGGCGCTCATTCAAGCACCAACAAATGTTTTTTTGACATCGGTCCCAAAAGCATATGATAATTCTTTAAAGAAAATGTGCTACATTTTTCGGCAAGACACTTACATGCTTTTTATTAAGAACGGGCACCAAGCGATTCTGATAACATTTTGCATTACACTTCCTCGGAACTCGCATGGTATATGGGCTCATTGGTTTCCCTCCCTTTGTTGGAAGCTGTTTTATGATTTTAACATCTTTTGAGAGAGATGATATAAACCAGTCTACGTCAAAGATTTCATCAAAGTTACTGCAACAAATACCCCCAAATCACATTATAATATGCTGACTATATCCCTTACATGGACAGTAGTTCTTCAACTGCAATATGCTGAAACTGACCTGGAATCCTTCCAATACGATTTCTGGTCCAGCTTGGGAACAACAAGAGTAGCATTCAAGATATAAGCTGCAACGACAGCATCTGTTATCTGCAACGGAACCAGTAAAGGAAGCATCAGAAGCCGAATCAGCAGCAAAAACATGCATGATTACAAACTAGCCTGCACAATCATGGCATAAAAACGTTTTGAATTCCCAAGAGAAATAACAATCACAGTTAAAAAGCTCACCCCTGTTCTTTGCTGGTTCAAACCTCCACTTGTAGCAATCAACAAGTAGCGATTCGAATGAGTTTTCGCATCAGCAGCTGCAACAGTTAAAGTATTGATTTGGTAAAGATAGATTAACCAGAGCTCCAATAATGAAAAAGAAATTCAAAATCTCCTATAAACTCATCACACGGCATAGAATCGATCCAATTACAACGCCATGAAATGAACAAAATAAGACTTCAATCAATGCTAGCAAGTTCCAGATTAACCATAAACATCAAATTAATATTGAATTTCAATTTGAATATCTCATCAACCCAATCTAAGAAAAAAAAAAAATAGAGAGCGGAAAAAAAAGGCAGAAATGAGATTAGTAAATATCTAATATATTTTACTTGCAAAGTTATCGGCGGCATTGCTGCAACCGAAGAAAAGCTCCGAATTCCTTGTACTCCATAAATCTCGACCTGAACTTCCTCCACTCTCCTGAAAACAGATCAAAAATTCAATTAGAACCGAAAAATATTAAATTAAATTTCAATTCTGCAAAAAATCAACAACTTGTATCGGAGCTCCATTAAGTTAAATAGCGTACCGGCACACGAAACGTCGTCGTCTCATCCGAATTATCCCGGACCTCATCGCCGCCATTGTCAACCTGAACGCAAAAGACACAAGAATTTTTCAGATAAAATGAAAGTCCTAGCAAACGGAGAAAATCGGAGCTGAGAGGTGATTCGGTGTGTGCTTGAGTACCGAGGAGAGGTGACGCAAGAGCGAGAGGTGATTGTGGAAATGCAGAACCGGAGACGGAGCGAGGAGAGAGAAGGCAGCGAGGAAGATAAGCAGGCAACCGGATACGGCGCAGATAAGCGGGAACACGTGGTGGCGGAAACGGCGGAGGTGTCGCCGAAGAATAGAGGTTCTGAAAATGACGCCGCCTATGGCGGCGGCGGCGATAACGTCGTTAATGTAGATGCAGCGGTGGCCGTTGTTTGCGTCTCTCTTCTTCTTCTTCATCGCCGGTAACATTGTTGCAGAGCAGAAAGAAGAGGAAATAGAGTCTTTGTATTTGAAGCTGGAGAGAATATACGGCGACGACAGCGACTACGAGAACGACAGCGTTTCTGATCTCTTCGGTTCCCCAACAAGAAAACAAACAAGCTTCACCAAAAAGGCCCTCCTCCCTAAAACCCAGCGCGCGTAATTTTCAATGGGTTTGGTTCCGGTGTGATGCGGTCAGACGGTATTATTGTCTACGTGCTGAGAATGATGCGTTTCTGATCATCCGATTGCAGTTTATGATGATTGTTGTTCTTTTGAGTGGGCCTCTTGCCTTGGGACCCATGAGGAAGAAATTGAAGAGCCAACGGATTTTGCAAGTGAAAAAATTCGATTTTTCACTTGCATAAAATTCTCATTGAACTCTTTGAATAACAATGAAAATTGTAATTAGTCTTTAAATTTAAAAATCTAATTCACAAATTAGAAATATCTAAAAGTTGTTTGCAAAGGGGAATTTTGTAGCTAATTTAGGGATGAGGACGAGAAAAATCAGCTCCAATTGCTTCCATTTCTCATCTACTAATTTTGGAGAAGTGGTATTTTCGCTTCCTAAATATGCGGGCAACGAGTGGGTGATGAGAAGCAACTTTATCCCATTCTTTTTTATTTTTCTCAACTATGTTTAACAAAAAGTAAACGATTAAGATGATGGACCTAATCTTGAAGGAAAATTATTAAAAATATTTTAAAATGAAGCTGTTATTCGCACTTTAAATAACTTTCGCGCTACTATTGTAAAATATAAGGTGTTAGAGATTTCAATAATAAATATATAAATTTTATATATATATATATATATGACTTGGCTGGGTTCTGCAGCATATGTGTGTGTGCGTTGTGCAGCATATGACTTTGCTGATGACAATTACCATCTTACACAATACTATGAATCAATTTCTAAACTTTGAGACCAATATGTTATTTGCATTCTTTAGAAAATTATGAATAATGATTCAGCTACTCCAATATATGTTATAAAAAGGAATTGTTTGCATTTGTTTTTTGGTTGAACGAGCAATAAGATAATTACAATAAATTTAGCTATATTATGGGGAGATAGATTAGAACTTGAGTGCAAACAATGAAACACATTAATTAGCACTACTCTAGCTAACTCACCTAAACCCATATATGCGCACAATGATGGTAGCTTCAATTTTATGAATTTAAAAAGGAAAATGAAACTAAGATTAGTTATTGAAATAATTTTTTTAGTTTATGGAGGAATAATCTAATGATTAAGTGAAATATTAGTGGGGTTGGGATGAGTTAAAGATTCCTATATCTTTGGTATGAGCGCTATACACACCTAAATTTCTACAATTTATTTATTTATTTCCGCCAAGATCTTTGTTTCTGAGTCACCTGTCACGTGCTACTCACGTGTTCAGTAACCTTTCCCTTATTTTCTTAATTCAATTTAATTTATCCAACGGCGGACGGCGACTACAAATCCCAACGAAAAGCGCGTGCCCGAGCAGATCAATCACTGAAAAGTGAAAGCCGCCCTTTCCGTCAGAGTAACAGTCACACAAGCAAGCAAGGACTGACGTTTCCCTCACGCGCATTGGGCGAGCGTCGTTCACGCTTTCTCCCTCACGCAAACTGTCGTTTGGCCTGGCTAATAACGCTATACGATGTGATATAAGGTACCGTTTGGTACGTAGGACGGGACGGGACGGAACAAGAAGAGCCGTTCCGTCTCACGTTTGGTGCGCCTAAAAATTGTGGAACAAGTTGTCTCATAGGACGAAATTTGGCTGATTTTTGTTCCACCTCTTCCCCCTGGAACCACCTGTTCCACATCCGTGGAACACAAATTTATAATATTTTATGACAAATTTCTCCTTATCTTTTTCAATATTTACATCATCAATTCCGTCATGTTTCGCCCCGTCCTGTCTGCGTACCAAACGGTACTAAGTGCGTGCTTTCATCGTTTTTGCGTTTCGACGTTACAAAAATCTGGTGGTTTCCGTTTGCCGAAAAATCGAAGTACGAAACGGATCAACGTCAGTGGTCAACCGTAATTACCTTAACAATATTTGACCATACTATGTTGAGAGACTAAAGATACAAATGGGTATAAAATTGGAGGAAAACCAAGTTTTGAACTCTGCGCTTGCAGGAAGATATTATTGCGCGATATTAATAACTTAATATCTTGTGAATGTTTTTGCTCACTACTCTTGAGTTATAATGATATTTATCACTTTATTTGTCGTAGTTGGACGAGCTTAAATTTCTAAACAGGTGATGGTCATTATCATTATTTGAGGTGGTGAGCTAAAATAAACTCTTAATATTGTTACATAATGTTATTCATTCATGAATCACAATATTGGTGATAATGATATATGGATCATTCAGAACTAGTTTTAGAATGGCTGGAGTGTTTTTTGTGAAATTGTTTTTTTAAACTAATTTTTAGTAAAAATGCAAATGAATTTTGGAAAAGCATTTAAAGTGTTTCCTACAAGAAACATCAATTATGTGCTTCTTGCAGAAAACACTTTAAGTACTTTTGAAACTCATAAACATTTTCCTAAATACACTTTCAGTCGTTTGAAAAACACATTTCCAAACGAGTCTGTAGGTGATATTTCATAGACAGATATTTATTAAACAAGAATATTGATAACATTTGTGTAGTAGCTGTCATGCTGAAAAATATGTGATGTAAAAACAATTTTTTTTTTCTTGGTTAGTTATAATTGGGGGTAATTGACTGATTAGTAGTTAATAGGTTAGTTGAGATATAATATTATAATAATTGGGAATGCATGATGCACCTAACGCTTGGCTAAAATAATTATTGGGGTAGGTTGTGCTTTATTGATTAAGGAGTTGAAGGAGGAATAGGAAGAAAATGAGAAAATGTCAAGAGGAAAGCAAGTTAATTACGGAACATTTTAAGAGGGAATCAATCACTGAAATGTTTAATGGTAGATATTTTGTTAAATATTAAAACATTAAAATCTCCAAGTAAAGCATCACGGATAATATCCAGAGGTTAAGAAATGAGAAAGAGTTCAACATCGTAATAAAGGGTTAACTTGAGCAATTTATGATGTAGAACGTGGAGCATGAATGATAAGTGAATAGGAATCGGTCTGAGAAGAAACTTTATGTCATCCAAGAGGGGCCTGAGGGGGGAAGCTTCAGCACAACTAAAGCTCTCTTGAATCTCTGCGGTTCAATTCAACTTCTGTGTGATGGGGAGTAATTGTCTCTTAATTTATGAAGGTGGTGTTTCAAGAAAACTTAAGGCCTGTAAATAATAAACGTGCATCTTATTTTTCTTTCCATGCACTTCTCTGTTAATTTGGTCGTGATTTGTCCAATATGATGACTACAAATAAAGAGGGATGTGAGGGAAAAAAAAAGATATGTGTGTATCATAGTCCAAAATTCATTAGATGAGATGGTGAGTGATATAAGTTTACATACGATGATTTATTTTCTGGTTCTTTCTTTGTACAAATTTAATGTAAAAAAGGATTGACACCTTCCTTTGCATTTATTTCTTTTGTAACTAACACGATTAAACCTTCAAACACAAAAATATCAAAGGAAAAGGGAAAAGGTTTTCTTTGTATAAAATCATCATTGTCTTATGTTATTAAGAGAACCTTTATAATATGAGTAACGCGAATAAATTGTCTGTTGTTGTAAACATTCCTAGTTTAAGTATGATTGTGTAAATCCTAGATAAGATTTGATTCTAGTTATCCTTTCCTATTACAACTTGTATTACTTGGAGAAGAAGGAATATCTTCTCTCCCTTTACTACTATAAATAAAGGCACAATGTAGGAGGGATAACAACACACACATTCCCCTACAATTCTACAAACACACATCTCTCTCATCTCTCTCTCTGTAGCCGGCCCTAGTCCCTCTGTCAGATAAAATAGACCACAACACGTTATCAGCACGCTCCTACCGCTGCGCTTAGGAATCTGACGTTGGAGATTTTTTCTGCATCAAACCAGTTCATCCATATCATCACGCAATCAGGTTCTTTCCAAACAACGGCTTTTAACTCGATATTTTGCAAGCCCTGATAGCATGAACATTCACCATGATGCATGACCCAACTTTACGTTTTACGTATTTTAGATTCTACATAAATTGTGTATGCTTCATAATCAAAATTGCTACAATTATGTGAATTTGATATTTGTCATGAATTGAATCCTACATATGTACATGCATTGAAACTATTATTTGCATATGCATCAACGTAAATATGTGATTCATTAAAATTATACATGCATATAATATAATTGAATACAAAAAAAAAAAAAAAAAAAAAAAAAAACGAAAAAAAAAATATATATATTTTAGGGCTGCACACAGCAGCCCATTCCCCTCTTCTCACCCCGTGGGCCTGTAATCCCACCCGAGGGTTCTTGGCCTATATTTTTAGGCCCCGAGATTTTATTATTTAATTTTTTTTTAAATAATATGGGTTTTTATATTTTCACCCACACTTTAATTTGGCCCCGAAGACCAAAAATAAATTAATTCACTTATCATTATACAATATTTCTGCATATATTCTTTGCATATTTGTTTGCATATATATTTGTGTTTGCCTGCAGGAATATATGAACCTGAAGTTCATAATTACTTTGAAACCCGAAGTTTCTTATACACATGCCTTGTTTGAAAACCCGAAGTTTTCACTTAAATATATCACCCATGAAAACCCGAAGTTTTTCATGCAAAATTAAACCAATACATGTCTATTAGAACCTGTATGTTCTACTCCTATGTGAATGGATTGATTTTTCTCCATTACACTAACCACATCTTGTCCATCTATTTTGATAGGACCATGTCGAATTTGAACAAACTCGACTTCACCGCTTTGGAGGTTTCTGGAAGGAACTACCTCAAGTGGGTTCAAGATGTGAAGCTTGCAGTCCTGCTATTGAAGAAGCAACAGATAAACCTGTTGGCGAGGCTGAAAAGCCACTGCTATGATCTTCATCCGAAGACATATCCATGACGCTCTACAAACTGAGTACCTTGCTGAGGAGGATCCACGTGCATTATGGGTCGCTTTGGCTGATCGTTTCGATCACCAAAAGGACATATTCTTGCCTGAAGCAAGACACGACTGGCAGCACTTACGCTTCCAAGACTTTAAGTCTGTGAATGAATATAATTCTAAAGTTTGTCGAATCCGATCACTTCTCAAGTTTTGCAATGAAACTTTGACTGAAGAGGATCTCCTGGAGAAGACCTACTCGACCTTCTCTGCTTCTAATATTGTCCTGCAGCAACAATATAAAGCTCAGAAGTTCACTAAGTTCTCGGATTTGATCTCTGTTTTACTTCTTGCTGAAAAGCAGAACCAGCTGTTGATGAAGAATCATCAAGCTCGACCTACT